TAATCTTACTTTTTCGGTCATATTTAATAATATATATATATATATATATATATATATATATATATATATATATATATATATATATATATATATATATATATATATATATATATATATATGTCGTACCTAGTAGCCAGAACGCACTTCTTAGCCTACTATGCAAGGCCCGATTTGCCTAATAAGCCAAGTTTTCACGAATTAATATATTTTCTCTAATTTTTTTCTTATGAAATGATAAAACTACCCATTTCATTATGTATGAGGTCAATTTTTTTTATTGGAGTTAAAATTAACGTAGATATATGACCGAACCTAACCAACCCTACCTAACCTAACCTAACCTATCTTTATAGGTTAGGTTAGGTTAGGTAGCCGAAAAAGTTAGGTTAGGTTAGGTTAGGTAGGTTAGGTAGTCGAAAAACAATTAATTCATGAAAACTTGGCTTATTAGGCAAATCGGGCCTTGCATAGTAGGCCGAGAAGTGCGTTCTGGCTACTAGGTACGACATATATATATATATATATATATATATATATATATATATATATATATATATATATATATATATATATATATATATATATATATATATATATAATCACATTGTAAAGACTGTAATAGGTTCTATGTTGGGCAAACCTCTAAGATTTGAAATGTAGAATTTTGCAACATAAATACTTTGTAAGACATGGCCAATTGTCTAATGCTTTGTATGTTCATTTGTCAGAAAATTCTTACCAAATTGATTGGGAGATGGCTTCTTCAATAACGAATTGTAAAAGCATTTTCAATAGGAACATAATTGAATCTGCTTTAATACAGATTACAAAATCATGTAATTTGAACATTAGCAGTGGTTTATATAATTTAGACCCATTTTTGATGTATCAGTTAAAGAGCGATTTGAGTAGGATCATTGATACACATGTCTCACTACTGTAATTCATTGTTAATATTCTCTATCTTATGCTATTATTATCCATGTATGGGCCTATTGGCCCATAGGATGCAGCTCCTATTCATACCCACCCAATCCTAGTCATATTTTAATCATTGTACCTCAGTTCACCTCTCTCCTGCCTATATATTTCCAAATCTTTGTACTTGTAACTCACCCTTCTGAAGATGTATTATTAAATACAAAAGTACTTAAGGAAATTTTTAATTCATACTTAAAGAAGGCCGGGTGGTGCTAGGTTTCAAGTCCTGGCTCCGGCCTTTATTTTGTGCTCCTTTTCGGGCGGTGCGTTTTTGTTTTCGTGCTGTTCACGTCCTGGTTTGTTCTCATACCTTCCTCGGTATTGCGTGATTCGTTCTGCCCTGTTGGGGCTTCGTTTGCCTCTCCTGTGGGTTGCAGTGTCCCTGCTTTTCGCTTTGTGTTTCGGTTCGCGGTGCTCGCTTCCTCGTTGGCCTAGGTCTGGGCCCTGGCTCTTTGTTTTTCATCCCAATTATGTCCTTGCTGTTTGCGGCGTCTGTGTTTCGGCGTTTTTTCTGCTGGCGGCTTCTAGTTGTCGTCTGTTGTCGGACTTGTTGGTCCTTCAAGGATCTCGAGGGAATCTTCCCGAACCAGGCATTTCTGCTTGCCCGGGTTGATTCTTTCTGCTTGCCAGGTTTGGGTTCCTGGTTTCCTGGCTTGCCCTGCCAGTTGGCATTGTCATGATCTCGCGGTGTCACTTCTCACGAATCTCGCGTTGGGATACATATATGTATTTATGGTCTACTCAAATAGCCTTAGAGAATGGAGGCTCACTTAAACACAGTGTTAAAATCAATAAGTTTACTGAAAAAAACTACATTGGATCTGCATGTTGAAATGATATATGTGGAGTTGTCAGACGCGGCACTACTTTTCACCCACCTTTGGAGCACAGTCAGCTGGACAATCCAGAAGCTCGCTACTGGCCTCTTGAATCCAGCCACTTCCTCCAGCTACCCAAAAGTCACTGCACCCACATATATATATTTATACATCAACTCATGCCTACATGAGTAACCTGGCTCCTAGCCTAACTCTCTATCACACAGGTAGTAATAATAAAGACAATGTTTACGGTATGAAAGATCTCCTAGCTCACCTAGATCAAGGGGTAATGGGGGGGGGGGGAGTTTATCTACCTTAATTCTTTCTGCTATGAAGCTGACCTATTCTCTGGCGAGGGTTGCTGAGGTCCCTGGTCCTGGCGTCTGGTCTCCGTTGATCGGGTCCCACACACAAGGCCCTCAGTCGACTTGTAGACGCGCGTCTTCGCCGTTCTCACTCTGCAGGCAGGTCCTCCTCCTCTTCCTCTCGAGGTACTGGAGACAGATCCCTGAGCACGTCGCCTTCCTCCTCCCACACTGGCACTATAGACAACTTGCAGTCTGGTTCAGCGTCCCCTCCTCGGTCTGCGAGTGGACTTGATCCCAGGCACAGCAGCTCACCTGACGCATTTGGACGTGGCCCGCTAGGCATCCCAGACGTCCCAGCCCAACGTTCATCTCTGCCACAGACTATCAGTAATGGAGCTCTTGGCGCTCTAACACCAGCCAAACCCGGCTTCCGTGTATTCTACAGGAGCTGGGTGACCTCCCACGATGTCTGCAGAATCAATGCAGCTGCTTGGGTCCACTGGTTGGGGCTTCCTAGCCTCTAAATCAGAAGCTCACTCGAGCGCGGCCACACACTATGACGGGCCGTGACGTATTGAGCCCGCCGGGGCACCCGGAGACCTCCGCCTCGTGACGTCACACCACCCGAGGGCTTCTCCCCCATTGGTCCATGATGTCACTTGACCCTACCTGGCCAATCAACAGCCTGCAGGCGTCACGCTCCTCTGGCGGGAAACTGAGCGCCTCGGCGCCATCTTGTAACTCAAAAGGGCGTAAGCCACATGCATGACCAAACTAAAATGGCAAATTCACTGCCAGCACGATAACGTTCCATATTCTCATATATGTCAAAATGTTCCCTGAACATCAGAGAACGTTCAGGTTGCAGAGATATGACTTCAAGCTGGGACAAGCAAGATATAGGGGTGGGACACCGTCACATTCCTTGCCGGCGTTAGTTTCCTGCTCTGCTTGCTCGGTGTTCGCACCCAAGGTTTTCTCGCGGCTCCGCCTCTTCCTATGCTCGATTGGTCCATGGCGGGGCTGGTTCAGTTCTGCTTTGAGTCTCTCACCATCTGTAAGTGATCAGTTGGCTTCGTTGATGGTGTCCCACCTGCGTGCTTCATTTCAGCTGCGGTGTGGGGTTTTTTGAGGTCCTTCCTTTTTCTTTTTGTCCCTTAGTAGGTTTGCTGCATTTTGTTGGTGTGGTCTTGTCCTTCTCTTGTGGAGGTTCAGGGCCATCATCTTGCCACATACTGTCGCCTTGTTTCATGCGTCGTTGGCGGAGCCGTTCCAGGTGGCTTCGGTTTTTGTGTTACCTCTGCACCCATTTTTATTTTTTCGAGCTGTCTCTGGCGTGATTCACCTCCGGCCTGCTCTTGCGCCGCTTGAGCCATCCTAGTTCTTGGATTGGATGCTCTCTTCTCTTCTACTCGGTTTGCTGTGGCCCCCTCGGTTCTGGTTTGTTTTCCGAAGCTTTTTTCTTGTTGGAGTTGGCCTCTGGGGGGTCGAGTCGGAGTGCTTCATGCTCTCCTCCGGTGCCTAGGTTTCGGCTCTTTTGGTTCTCCTGATATGTTTGTTCGCTTGCAGCTGTCTCCTACTTTTCTGGTGAAGACTGACACAGCTGCTTTCCGGAAGGGTCCTTGGGTTGTTGATGCTTGGTTGGTCTGGCTGGATGTGCATCTTGTGTTGTGTTCGGTGGTGGCGATTCGCCGTTCTTTGTGTGCCACGGCTGCCATGACCAGGGTCCCGCTTTGGGTTGTTCCAGTTTCCCTTCTTCCCTGTTTCAGGGTGCGGTTCTCTCGGGTCGTCCGCGGGGTGGTTCGGTCCTGCCAGCCTGCTGTCTATTCCCGTGCCCACGTCATTCGTAGGTTGGCTATGCGTTCCTTCGTTGATGTTCCTGGGCCTTGTCGGGCCTGTGTGGCCTTGGATTGGCAGTTGAAGTCTTTTGTCTCCACTTCGCGTTGGGGAGTGAGCGACTTCCGCCTCCCGGGTTAGGTCCCTCTTGTTTTCGTCTTTGGGTAGGTAGCTCCAGGGAGCCAACGGGGGCTCCCCCCAGAAAACCAATGTTGAATGTAATGAAACACCATTTTCTGGGTGAGACCCAGAGGTTCCCCAGCAACCCTCCCTCCCTCCCTCCCTCCGGTCAGCATTTTTTTCTCATGTTTTTTATATCCAGCCTCAGAACTGTGGTGTGGATGGCTGGCACAGGGGTCTGGGGCTCCCCCTTCCCCCTCCCGGGGAGGGGGGGAGCTGCGCAATCGGCTGCGTGTCGATGTGTGATGTCATACTCATTTGCTTGTTTCTGTTTGGGGAATTCTATCACCTTGTTTGACTTTTTGTAGCAATTTTCACCAGAAGAGGGGTTTGTTTTGGGATGCCTACCTTTCTGGGTGCCTAACCCGATCGATGGCAGACATTGAATGCTTCCAACCACACAGGGGTTTCTATAGGCCATTGTTCCTCTTGCCTCTGTGAGGGGGCCAGGTTCTGGTTCGTGGTCCCCAGTAGGCCCACAGAACTCCATACACATGACTGATGCCAAAGTCTGATATTAGCACATCAGTCTGGATAGCTCCGGGGAGCCTCCAGGTCTTACCCAGAAAATGGCGTTTCATTACATTCAACGCTGATTTTTTATGCCTACCTGTCTGGGTGCCTAACCCCAGTCGATGGCAGGTAAGGGATACCCTCCAACCACAGGGGGTTGTTTCCAGAGGCCATTGCTCCCTGTGCCTCTCTGAGGGGATGCTAGGTTTTGATTTATGGTCCATGGTAGGCTGAACTCCATTGACTAATGCCCTAGTATTATGAATTGGGTATTAGCACAATAGCTCCAGGGAGCTTCCGGGGCCCACCCAGAAAATGACGTTTCATTACGTTCAACACTGGTTTTTTTATTATATTTCAGATGGTTGTTCCCAATCATTGGTCACGTGGGCATTGGTAATACCTCAGGGGTGATACGTGATTTTGCTGGGCCATACTTTGTGTCGGAAGACAACATGGCATTTGGCTGGCCCACCAAGTATTGGGCACTAGACCCTTACAAAGCTAAGGGTGGACCGACATCATTTGACCGTTGTGTGTCTATGGCCTCAGAAGAGTATATGGGTAGAATGGTAAGTTTAACCTTTTGTAGATAATCCTTTAAACCACAGTTTCTTCCCAGGACTGAATTTCTAAAATGTATTGAAATATACAAGCCTAATATAATTGTAGAATATGAATGTAAAAATATCCCCAAAATACAGATTTCAGTAACTATACAAAGCATCTTTCTGAGCATGACCATTTGGTTACCAGCCTTGGTAAGAGCCACTGTGGCCTCTGGACAAGGATCATGACAGCACAAAAAATCTGGACAAAATAAAAAAAACGGCCCTACATAACAGTTGGGCCAAAAGAGGCAATGGAACATCTAATGACAGATTTAAGAATATTTTTGGTTACTCCTGAAGTGGGAATAATTTACACAAAAGTTATTGTTTTTGAGTATTCGTCATACAGTACATTACTTGGATCCTGAATTTCTTCATCTCAACAATGAAAGTGTTGTGTGGACTAAGAGGAACATTGTACATGGTGAAAAACAAAGCCAGATTGTTACCTTGTTAAAGAGTGAGGCACCAGAAAGACTTTTTGTACAAGGACTTGGATACAGGAAAGTGGTAAAATATATTGAGGAGCCTACATTATGCATGAAGTGTTCTCGTTGGGGACATATGGCACATATGGCTTGGAAATGCCAGTTTGACCCCAGATGTTGGTAGTGTGGTAAGAAACATGACACAGTGTAGTCAGGATTGACAAAGGAGAAACTTTTATGCCATCTTGCTGCAATTGTTGAGGCATCCACAATGCTTGTTCCTTTCCATGTCCCATGAAGCCCCATGTGAGAGATTTTAAGCTGGCACCCATAAGCAGGGTAAACGAAACTCCGAAGGAAGGCATGATCCTTCAGCAGGAACAAGGAAGAAACAGTGGAGAGACAAAGATAGCCTCTGTGACCAACGTTTGGGTGAAAGAAACAGTGACGATTAAGGCTAGCCTAGTGGCAGTAGGAAACGAAGCCAAAAAAGTGGACCCTTGCAGTAATGAGGTACAGGGCAGCATCGTGGATTCTGTGGTTGGAACACAGATCTTGGAATACCTCAAAAAGTTGGAGAAAAGGATTGAAGCTCTAGAAAAATTAACTATGGCAAACAGATGGGATATAGTGGAGAGTGAAGTTGGGAATAAAACAGAAGTGGTAACAAAGTAAGGAAGAGGATGGAGTATGATGGATGTATAGTATAGTATGGGAGCCGGTTGACCGAGCGGACAGCACACTGGACTTGTGATCCTGTGGTCCTGGGTTCGATCTCAGGCGCCGGCGAGAAACAATGGGCAGAGTTTCTTTCACCCTATGCCCCTGTTACCTGGCAGTAAAATAGGTACCTGGGTGTTAGCTGTCACAGGCTGCTTCCTGGGGGTGGAGGCCTGGTCGAGGACCGGGCCGCGGGACACTAAAAAAAAAAAAAAAAAAAAAAAAAAAGCCCCAAAATCATCTCAGCATAACCTCAAGATAACAAGATCACAGGTGGAAGTCTCAGGAAAATCATCCACTAGTGATGACTGTTCAACCAACCCATCCTTCTGTTTAGATAGTACCTATTGTGATGATGGTCTATAGTCAGAATTTGTACGTTCTTAGCTTTTAGATAGTAGTATACTGACTAGTAAGTAATTCTTTTAAAATAAATGAAGCTAAAACACAAACTTAAATATTCCTAGGCCTAGTATAGTACACATATGTACTATATTAGCTCTAGGGAAGTTAGGATAGGTTAGTTTAGTTTATCAAAGCAACCCAAGTAAAAAGTAGTTTTCTGGTTTGTCCAACTCAATAGTTCAGATTTCTACATTCTAATTTTATTGTACGTATTTCATTTGGGGCCTGACAGCTGGGTGGACAGCGCTTTGGATTCGTAGTCCTGAGGTTCCGGGTTCAATCCCCTGTGTAGACGGAAACAAATGGGCAGAGTTTCTTTCACCCTGATGCCACTGTTACCTAGCAGTAAATAGGTACCTGGGAGTTAGATAGTTGCTATGGGCTGCTTCCTGGGGAAGGGGTGTAACAAAAAGGAGGCCTGGTCGAGGACTGGGCAGCGGGGATGCTAAGCCCTGAAATCATCTCAAGATATCCTCAAGATCTCAAGATATATGTCGATATATGTACTATGGTCCTCATCGTTACTATAAGTACTGTACTACCAAAGTAGGAGGATGGGCTGGTTCAACCCAGTGTGGTGGAAAATGTTGACAGAGAAGTTTAGGAAAAATGGTTTACAAAAATAGAATTTGAAGGCATAGTTAAGAACAGAGTTACCTTTGATTGTAGTGGGTGTGTAAGTGTTGAGCAAGTAGTAGGCTCAAAATGTTGGGAGTCTGTGTCCAAGGCGATATTGCTTCGTAATGAATTTTCAAACAGAAGCAAAGTTAAAGAGTCTAAGAACATAGAGGGAAAAATTACTGCATCTACATTGCATTCCTCCCTTGTTGGTGTTAATTGTTTATTTGGTAATGCAATATATTCTTGAAGGACATAATGCTTTATAACATTAGAACATTAGGACTTATTATGCTTTCAGATGCATTATTCATTTCTTCCCACCTTTTGAAGTGAGAGGATTAATTCATTAGTTCTCTTGCTTCTCATTAATTTAATTGGCAAAGCTTCATTTATCTCTGAACTTCTATCCCCCAATACTCTGTAAGTTCAATCATATCATCATTATCTCAGTAATAGTATTTCTTGGGCATCCCAAGATTATTGTCATGCTTCATATTGTACCTTCTCCAACTTGTTTAGTCTACCTTTATCAAAACAAGAAATGACAGGTGCAGCATAATCAATAAGAGATCTGTCAGTATGCCATGTGATTTCCATTGGAATGTGAAATGTGAAATATGATTAATAATTGTGTACTGCATGGGTTTTGGAGCCTCCCTTGAGGAACCTAAAATAGACGAGGGTGGAAATAGCCTACGCTACTCTTATCATTTTGAGATGTACTGGAGTATTTCATTTTCTCAATAAACTTACTTGAACCTCCCCCTTCACCTGGGAAAAGGAGGGAGGTGAACTGGGTCTGCTGGCCCGCACCCCCCCTCAGTTCTAATTCTGATGGTGCCTGGTTGCTGTTGTAGTCGTTCTGGCTCTGGTTTCCCATTTTTCAAGTTACTCATCTTTGGCGCTTGTGGTTACTTCTTTCGGTCATAGTGGGCATTTTGTTCAGTTGTAGCCGGCTCCTTTTTAAGTGAAGAATGAGTTGGCTGGTTTCCCGAGGGGTCTTTTGGTGGTGGATGGCAGGGTTGGTTCAGCAAGGGGTGCATCATGCGCTTTTGTCTGGTGGTGGCTTTATGCTGCTACTTTTGGGCCACCGGTTTTTCTTTGGTGAACTCCTTGTGGGTTGATCCGGTTTCCCTGGTTCCCTGTTCCAGGGTTTGTGTCTCAGATCATCCAGTATAAAAAAAACTAGCCAGCCTGCAGTCTACCCTTGTACCTATGATGTCAGAAATTATGCCACTCTGACGGCTGTGTATGCAAATATGTTTTCGACTAATATTTGGGCACAGGGTTTTGGCAGTCGAACAGGGTCTTGGTGGCCATGTTTCACATGAACATCCTTGGCCCTCAACAACATTGTGTTGCAATGGGTTATGTGTTGTGGCCAAATATCGCTTATTTGTCATATACCTGGGGTGCTGCCTCTTTCCTGATAAGTGCCCATTTTCCTTCTCTGTGAGTAGTCAACTTCAAGGAGCCTCAAGGGGTTCCCCCCCCCCCCAAACAACCAGCATTGAATGCAGTGAAATGTCAATTTCAGGGTGAGCCCCAGAGGCTCCCGGACACCCCCCTCCTAGGGTTATATGTCGTAATGGCTTGGCGCTTTCCGTTGATAATTCGCTCGCCTGAGAATATCTTAGGGAGGAGGCATTATGAACACCGGAAGGCAAGTTTCATTTCGTTCATTGTTCGGGGGAAGGTTGGGCAAACTAGCTTGTGCTAGTTTCCCTGGCACAAGTTTTTTCCTTGTGCTAGTTTCACAAAATTTTGTTTGATTGTTTTCATAGTTGGGGGAGTTCTTTTGGCAGTTTTGAGGCTGTCTCGGTTTTAACCATGCAATGGTCTGTTTTGTTTCTCTGACTTTCTGGGTGCCTTCCCTGCTGGTAGTAGACATGAATTACTTTAACCCTTAGAACAGCGGCAGTGAAGCAATGGTCATACTTGCCTATGCGCAAAAAAAAAAAAAAAAAGCATTATAGAATTATAAATCTGTATGCAAAATGTAAGAAAAACACAAAAATAATCGAATGCTGTATTTATTGTTTCACTGGGTGGAGGCACTCTCGAAAGGTGTGTGGTGGATGTGTCCCGAATTGCTATGCATGTTAGTGGCTTTACAAGAATGTAAAAACATCAATGCTTTGTACTCTCATAAACCCTTCTTGTATATATTTATACAGTATAAATAAATTGATGATTGCTTTACCTGGTACCTTACCTTTAGGTTACCTTGACGTGATTTCGGGGCTCAGCAACCATGTGGCCCGGTCGTCGACCAGGCCTCTTCGTTGCTGGACTGGTCAACCAGGCGCTTGGACGCGGCTGCTTGCAGCCTGACGTTTGAGTCACAGCCTGGTTGATCAGGTATCCTTTGGAGGTGTTTGTCAAGTTCACTCTTGAAAACTGAGGGGTCGGCCAGTTATGCCCCTTATGTGTAGTGGAAGCATGTTGAACAGTCTCGAGTCTCTGATGCTGATAGAGACTCTGATGATGGTACTCTTTCAGAGTACCTGTTGCACCTCTGCATTTCATTGGGGGTATTTTACACATCCTGTCATGCCTTCTGGTCTCATGTGATGTTATTTCTGTGTGCAGTTTTGGGACCAGCCCCTGTACTAATTTCCATGTGGAAATTATTATGTATCTCTCCCGCCTGTGCTCAAGAGAATACAAATTTAGGCTCTTTAGTTGGTCCCAATAGTTTAGATGTTTTACTGAGTTACTGAGTGGATTCTAGCAGTGAAGGATCTCTGCACGCTCTCCAGCTTTGAAAGGATCTGTCATTGTGCA